GGTGCGTAGTATGTTCGAGCGAAAGATTCATTCGATTTTGCTCATCCTATCAATCGAAGTATCGTGAAGCCAGCTGCGAGGTGTGTAGTATGTTCGAGCGAAAGATTCATTCGATTTTGCTCATCCTATCAATCGAAGTATCGTGAAGCCAGCTGCGATATTGGAGACTTATCTGCTCTCTCTCTCTCTCTCTCTCTCTCTCTCTCTCTCTCTCTCTCTCTCTCTCTCTCTCTAACACACACACACACACACACCCCTGTGCAAGGATGACACACACCTGCGACGAGGAGGACAGATGGAGGACGATACAGAGAAGATTAGCACGACCTCTGCGCAAGGATGATACGCACAAATCGAGAAAAGGTTAAAAAAAAAAAAAAAAAATCGACAGATTCGACACCTGTGGGAGAGGAGGAGGAGGAGGAGGACGACGAGAACGGAGGACGAGGAGGAGAGATGGAGGACGAGGAAGGGTAGGAGTAGGACGAGCGGGAGGAGAGGAGGAGGAGGAGGAGGAGGAGGAGGCAGTGAGGATGAAGGGGAGGTCGAAGCTGGTGATACTCACCGGGCGATGGCGGCAGCTCCTCCCTCACAGGGCAGCACGGCAGGTCGGCAGCACGGCAGCACTTCAGCACGGGGCAGCACTTCGCAGCACTTCGCAACGGCAGTCCTCGCAGGCCACACACCTACCCAAGAGGCCAGGCAAGCCCACACAGAGTACAACTGGAAACAGGTTTCGAAAATTCGAAACCTCGCGCTCCGGCCTTGAGCGCGGCCCCAAAAAATTTTTTTTTGGCCTTGGCAAGATTTTTGGCGGGGGGCCTACGATGTGTCGTTTCGACCCCTGCCATTTTTTTTTTTCAGGGGGGGGGCGGTTCGGGCCGTTCCCCGCACACCTCGTGCGCCGCGCGGGAACGGTCGGGCCCGTGCGCCGGACATAGGGGAACTCGCGGACGAGGTGCGCTTGCAAGTATGATTGTGGTTCATGCACATAGAGCCAGGTGATCAACAATGCAGGATGCTTGTGCAAATGATAGCATGGCTCCTTCTGCTGTGCTTGTTTTTTTTCCTTGTAGTCTTATTATTTTGATCGTCAAACGGCGTTGACAGGGTGTTGTCCACTTTGCGAGTAAAGTTCTGCATCGGTGTACAGCAGAAGGGCTGAGCGCGGAGGGTGTAACAACAGCTCAGAGGGCTGAGCGCCGAGGTTGTGACAACAGCTCACAGGGCTGAGCGCTGAGGATGTAGCAACATCTCGCTGCCTGAGGTCTCGAGCCAAGGCGGAGCTGCTCCCCTCTCGCATTTGTAACATTTGTTCATGCGTGCCGGTGATGAGCAACAGTACTGTGGCCCCCGAGAATAGAGGGGGTGGCTGTGTGTTTTGGTAAAAAAAGAAGAAGGGCTGAGCGCCATGGTGTGTCAAATGGCATTGACAGGGTGTTGTCCACTCTGAGAGTGAAGTTCTGCAGCAGTGAAGAACAGAAGGGCTGAGCGCCGTGACGTGTCGAACGGTGTTGACAGGGTGTTGGCCACTGTGAGAGTCGAGTTCTGCTACATCTTGTTATACTGTGTTGCTTGTTTCAATCCTTCTGCAAGGGGGCTACCTCCCTTGGCCAATGGATGCCAACACACCAGCAATGTTTATCATTGTTCGTGTTTTTTATCATCAAAGTATCTTGTCCACTCTGGTTGTTTTGTTAGACGAAGTGGAGGAGGACAACGTTTACAATGGTAGGGAACTCGAAGCACCGCCTGCATATCTGTGGCAAATGTGGAAGTGTGGCATTCTATTTAGTGCATGCTGTTTATCCTTTCATCAAGTTTTACAGCAATTATTGTTGTTCGGCCTTTTTAAACCACCATTCCATCCGCTGCTAAATTGACGATCTAAAAAAAAAACATTCCGGCCTTTGAAAACATCAACGTGGTAGCCCTTTCCTACCAAAGCTCTACCGGGTCTTGGCACTGTAGATTTTGCAAACCGCAGATGCACGCAAGTATGATGGGCAGCTGTGTGGCTCTGTGGGGTGTGTGGTATGGAAGTCTGCTCTGCACTGCTCATAACATCGCAGCGGCGACAGACACATTGCCGCATCTGCATCTGTGACAAGTTCTTGAATTACACTGGACACAGATTAAAAAAAAAACAATAGGGTTCTTCTTCTCCTCTGAGATAACACACATGGCCATCCCTGAACGCCCCCCCCAACTTAATCTCATGACCAAGCGTGCACTCCCGGTCATGATCCCTCCCCCCTAAGACCCGTGAAGTGCATTATCCTGTTGATGACTTGGTTGAGCAAAGAGATCCTTTAGGTACCACGGAACGAGAAGAGGACCAAGATTTGGTATCTCAAAAAGAATCTGTTGGGATAATTAAAGTGTTACTTAAAGTTGGCATTTCGCCTCTCATTGCATCCTTTCGTTCTCAATGACAATGCATCCACCCAATGCATTATTTTGGGTGTAGCAGGGGCCTTCGCTCCCTTTCTGTGCAGCTGGACATGCCTGCCTCTGGCGTCTGCAGATTGCATGGATAGTCCGCATTGCTGCTATGGTGTCTATATGCCAGAAGTTAAGCCATAAAGACTATTAAAGAGTCATTAAAGACCCATAATTGTAAAACAGAGTGATCCTGGCTAAGAATGAACATTAGCGATATGATTAACGTATGCAAGTCGAACATCACCGGAATCTACTGAACGGTTTGGAAAAAATCCCAAACAGTCTATAGATAGTCAATTTAGGACAGAAGGTTAACCGACCCCCCATTTTTCACCTCCATTTATAAAAAAAACAAAGGGTCATTTTAACCATACTTCACACCAATCTGTAGACTGCACTTCTTACTAACTTATTGTAAAAAAAAAAAAAAAAGTAGTCGGAGTGTTTAGCACTGTTTGACGAACCCGCGTAGTATTAGATACCTACGTGAGGTAATGGCTTGAACTATGAACTCGCCTGGCAGGTGTTTGTTTGCTGGGGTCTGTGATTTCATACTCCATTGATCCAGTTCAAGTTGGGGTCGAACTCAGGTCTATACTTCAACAACAGTTCACGAGTATACCAACTGAGCTAGGCCCATTGGTGTGATTTGATACGCCAATTTGCTGTGACAGGCTGAAAGCGTCACCTTAATAAGGTTGCTGCAGTGACTCAATGAGGGGTGGTGCTGTTTATTCTGTAGGCTGTGGGTCACAAGGGGTTACTCGGGGGGTTGCGTTTACCGCCTTCTTTTTTTTTTTTTTTTTTTTTTTTTTTTTTGCGATGGTCTGATCCAATATTTGGCGTCGTGTTTATGATGGCAGTTACGTGGATATGCCAGCAACAGGCGACGTTCCTTTCACACATGCAAACGTCAGTCATGCACGAGAAGAACTCGGGTGAGTAATAATCTGGACAATAACCCTGCAAACTGCATCTACGTGCTGGTGAAATCGCCATGTGGCATTCGTACAAGCATGTTTCTTCCTCGCGTCTCCCAATTAAAGTCCAGAGGCTCACAGACAGAGCGAACATTATTCCTGTCTTGTGTATGTTGATGCTTGTTTGATGATTGGCTTTGGAAAAAGGGCAAAGGAAAATGAGAGAAGGGAGTTGAAGCACCAACAGGCCTAGTTCAGTTGATACACCACTGATTTTTTTTAATACAGATCCGAACTCGAATCCAAATGAGACTACTCTGACGGCAGTCAAATAATTCTGAATTACTTGGGGCCGGTCAGTTCTTCAACAATGTCTCCAGGTCACCCTTTTGAAAAACAGAAGGGTGGTTGAAACCTTGGGGGTGTTACAACCCCTTAGAGTACCGTCTTCACCCGAATAGAACGCCCGGTAATTATCGCAGTATCTGGACTGCAAGTCGCCCCAAATACACCTATAATGACCGGGCGTTCTATTTGGGTGAAGACGGTAGTGCAAGCATGTGTCGTCGATTGTCTCAGGTCAAGGATGTCCCCTCCAATTCATTCTCAATAACCAGCCATTCAAGTAGCTGAAGGAGAGAAAGTAGAGGTGCTAAGAGATGAAAGTGCGATATAGTTGCTCGCTGCCTCTGTCCATTACCTGGTGATGTTGTCATGAACTGACATTTCGTTAAAACTGACATTTTCTTTCTAAATTCACGAAAATTGAGCCTACGAAAAAAACAGCATTTTTTTTGCCTTTTTTTGTCCCCATGACGTCGTGACGAAACCCGATGATTGAACCCTCGGATGTATTTTGACGGTACTTAAACGTTGACAACTTGACATACATCAGATGGTCAAAGTGAGATAACCACTTCCTCACCCAATGAGCAATGAAATTTTGACCTAGTCCACTTTCGTGAATTTAGAACCCACGCGGAGCTCTCGAAAATGTAAACTAGAGTTTGATTCCTGATGGAGTCGAATGATGCAAAAACTTGTCTTTTCTCTATTCGTGCGTGTCACCCTTGCGCAGGTGCCATGCTAATTCGCACGTCATTATATTGGGTGGAACAGGTTTAGATGTAGTATTCCCACGTCGGATGCCACTGCGGCCCTACCGGAAGCGGAATGCAACCAGGCACACTGCCGGTCACCGCCATTATTTTTTCTGAATGCTAAGATGCTTAGGAAAAAAATGTCAGCTTTAACGAAATGTCAGTTATTGGATAATAATAACTTACCGTTCGTGAAGAAGGGTATGGCTGAAGCCATCCTCGTGGGAAAGCTATTTAAATTTCAAACATGCTTAGTTAGAGGTGTTGCAGTTGGGTACATCCAGGGAATTGGCACCGTCTTCTCCTGGAAATAGGATGTGCCCTCGTTGTCGCTGTTTCTACACTGAGAGTTGCTGCAAATACATGGTAATGACCGTACCTCAGGGTTGCATCCCTGCCGACCGCCGACCCCGACCGCCGATCGTATTGCAGCCCACCAGTAGGGCCGACCTGTCGGCGGTCTTCCTACTGATCAGAAAACAACCATCTGCTGATTTTTTTTCAAATCTGAGTTGGGGGCTGTACTGCGC